GTGCAGGGGGTGAGAGGATTCACCAGAGACAGAGCAGGGAACAGAACAGGCAGATTGACTGAAACACACCGCTGAGGGGAGCAGCAGGAGAGACAGGAAAGGTCTGCTGTGCCATGTGGGTCAGCTCCCTGACCAGCAGGGATCGAACTCATGCTGCAGTGGCTGCAGGTAGCCTCATAGTGCTGCCTCTCAATCCCTTGTGCCACCAGGAAGGCACTCCTTAAGGAGCTTATATTCCAATAAGAGGGAGGCAGACAAATTAAATACATGTATAAATGACACATTCTGTTGGAAGATGGTAAAGTGCTCTGGTATAAACTAAAAGCAAAAATAGAGAATATGGAGTTCTGGACAAAGCAAGAGGTCTAAAGGTGGGTAGAGGAGTTATCTCAGAAAAGGTAACATCTGAAGACTAAAGAGGAGGGAGTCATGGGGATACTGGGTAAAACTGTTCTAGGCATCAAGAACAGCACATGCAAAGGCTCTGAAGTAGCAAGTTGCCTAATAACTTGGAAAAGTCATGACTCACTTATTTCCAAGTTGTGGTTTTTGATTTTCAATTCTGTTTCAGTACCACAAGGTTGAAGAGTTTCAACTTATAAAATGAAAAGTTAATAAATACAGTTTGATGCTAGTTGGGAATCAAAACGTGAGCAATAAAATAACGAACTGACATGTCTAGCCCAACTATTGCTTTATAAATAAACCCAGTATAGTTGGGAGTATGGTAGGGAATGAGGCCTGAGAGGCAGTGAGGGGAGCAGAATGAAAAGGCTTCAATATTTGTCAAATTAATAGCAATGAAGTAATGAAGAGTAAGAGAGCCAGCATTTAGTGAGCTCTTACAAATGTGCCAAATGCAATTCCAAATAGGTCCTGCGTGTTATCTCTTTAAAAATGGAAAAAAAAAGTGGGCCTCCAGGTGGCACAAAGGGTTAAGCAGCAACACTATGAAGCTATCCACAGCCACTGCAGCACAAGTTTGATCCCCTGCCAGGCCTCCCTGGTGTAGCAGACCTCTCCTGACTAGCCCTGCTCCTGCCCTCAGCAGTGTATTTCAGTCAATCCACCTGTTCTGTTCCCCACTCCATCTCTGGTGAACCCTCTCACCCCCATACCTCTGGCCTGCACCCCAGTTCTTATATGCATAAATAAATTAATCTTTAAAAATAGAAATGGAAAATGGTCATGTTCTTATGTATAGCATTGACTTTAGGTTACACGCAGCAGTAAGTCCAAAACACTATAGGAAATAACAAGCTGTTTCTTTCCCCCATCTTAACTTGACTAAAACATTTACTAAAAGCTGCAATTAATTAAGCTTCCCCATGCATCTTAAAATTAATCAAAAATTCCTTACAAATGTCATGACTCACTTATTTCCATGTTGCGGTTTTTAATAAGAGTTTCAACTCTGTTTCAGTACCACAAGGTTGAAGGGTTTCAACTTATGAAATTAAAGTTAATATAGTTTGGGACACTATTCAGAGTTCAAATCCTGCCTTAATAACATCCTTTCATTTGTGTAATAAATCCTTTAACATTACTGCTTTCCTTTCTGACATCTATAGTGTGACTTAACATTTCTGAGTAGTACAAATTACATCTACTTGAGCCAAAAAGATACGGTACATACTATTCTACTGGCTTTGTTCCCTTCTTCTGCTGTATTTCATTTAAAAGGCATTCTTACTTATAGAAATAAGCATGCTAAGACTGTTTGCCTTGGTAAACAAAATTAATTAGTGGGGGCACCAGATGTATTTTCATAAAGAAATTGGTAGATTTTTGAGCAGCTCCCACTTATCAGAAAATAATTTTAAAATGTCTCCTAAACACAAAGAGATTGTTCAGTTCAACTAAGAAATGTTTATTGAGAACTTTTGTGAGGAGTTAGGAAGATAAAGACAATCACAAGTACTACCCTCAGGAACTGACAGTCTACAGGGTCGAGTCACATGAAAGTCTGGGATGAAACAGAAGGTACCAAAAAAACTTGTGCTTCATTTTCAGAAAGTCACTCACCTAAAACATCAGCTATCTGACATTCCTCTGTTTACTGAAATTAAGGACCAATGATTGAAGAACCAACCTTCTAATAGTAACAAGTTAGAATTGGGCAGAGCATTTCTTTCTATTTTTTTTTTTTTTTTTTTTAAAGATTTATTTATAAGCACTGGGTACAGTCGGAAGTGCAGGAGGGTGAGAGAATTCACCAGAGCCAGAGCGGGGGACAGAACAGGCAGAAGGACCGAAGTACACTGCTGAGGGGAGCAGCGGGCGGCAGGAAAGGTCTGCGGGTCATGTGGGGGAGCAGCCAGTGATCCAACCGGGGTTGCAGAGGCTGCGGGCAGCTTCATAACCCAGCGCTCAACCACTGAGCCGCCGGGGAGGCCCTGGGCAGAGCATTGAAAGTAACTTTTAAGTATCCAATTCTACACATAGAGGTTTCCTCAGAGAGCAACTGCTCATGATTATTCTTCACTAGTATTGAAATCACAGAGGATCTCTGATATCTGTTTCCAATTATTTTAGTGACATGAGAATCACAGATTTTTAGTTAGCACGGTACATCACGTGAATAAATGGTATTTTTATTGTACAAAACATAATCTAGGTAAATAAAACTAGACTAAATCTAAACCTATGGCTTTATACAAATTTAATCAACACAAATGATCAATTTAAACGTGATATTACGTCAAAGATCATATGAAACAACCTGGTTAAAAATCTAACTTCAGGGCTCCCCTGGTGGCACAAGGGGTTAAGCACTGCACTATGAAGCAATCCACAGCCTCGGCAGCACAAGTTCGATCTCCGGCCGGCCAGAGAGAAACCCACATGGCAAGGCAGACCTACCCTGTCTTGCCCGCTGCTCTCCTCATTAGTGTATTTCAGTCAGTCTGCCTATTCTGTTCCCCACTCTGTCTCTGGTGGATCCTCTCACCCCCCACATCTCTGGCCTATACCCCAGCTCTTGTATGCATAAATAAATCTTTTTTAAAAAAATCTAACTTTAGTGGAGCAGTCATAAATAGGAGAAGAAATTAGTCCAAGCTCTCCTCATCAAGACCTAGTTCCTGGGGACTGGGGAATAATTTCATTGACTAAGCTTCTATTCAGGTTAAATTATCACATGCTTCCTGAAACATAACACAAAGTTATAGAAGTCTGACATTAATGTCATAGAGATCTAACAGTAAATCATCTTTAACACAGATAGTAGCGCTTTATCACAGCCCTAACATAAAATGTTTCCACCTCAAAGCTGACTTGAATCAGAATTATCTGGGAGAATTTTTTGAAAGTGTATATCCCCAGGCCCCATTCATTGGAAATTCTCATTGACAATACCGGGCAGGGACTTTATAGAGCTTCAAGTGAGTGATGATCAGGCAGGTTGGGGAGCCTCTAAGAGGAACCTGACTAAGCTGATGCCAAGAACAACAAAGGTAAAATGTAATAAATGGTGTCATCTTCTCACCAAAACCGGACTGTCATGCTAAGTCTGTCTTCTCCTAAACACCTGGAGCACTGATCAGTTCTGAGCACTGTACAACTACACGGTCAGCAGATATCAGCAGGTGTGCACGCTTAAATTTATGGAAACTTGAAAAAATAAGTGACCAAGTGCTAATTAGGAAATGATAGACCTGAGAAATAATCTAAAATTCATTTATTATACCTCCACACTCAAGCGGTGTCACCACTGGTGTTCCTGGATTTTTTTCAGTAAATATCCCAAATCTAAGTTTTACTTGTTTTGGTGATTAATACTTAAATCCTTTATTGGTTATTTTAACATTATAAATTCATAGGATGTTGGACCTCCCTGGTGGCGCAAGGGGTTAAGCGTCAGCACTAGGAAGCTCTCCACAGCCACTGCATGCAGCAGGCGTTTTGAGCCCTAGCGGGGGAGCTACCCACATGGCACAGCAGACCTCTCCTGTGTCGCCCACTGCTCCCCTCAGCAGTGTATTTCAGTCAGTCTGCCTGTTCTGTTCCCCACTCTGTATCTGGTGAATCCTCCCCCCCCCACACACACACCCCTCTGGCCTGTACCCCAGCTCGTGTATGCATAAATAAATAAATCTTTTTAAAAATCATTACAAAAAAAAGAGGGGTTGGGGCGGGAGCTGTCAAAATATTCTGGTTCGATTTCATTGCCTTAAATAACCTCCGTATTGGCTAGGTGAAAGAGCAGGGGAGAAGGGGAGGAGAGGCAAGAAATAAGAACTTAAAAACTTCCCCAGAAAGCTGTCGCTTGCTATCAAAACAGACCTGGCCAGGTTAAGCCTGAAGATGGCCCAGGGCTGGTCTAACACTTTACTCTCTAATCTGGTAGCTACGCAGAGCGTAAACACGGCAGCCCTTGAAGCCAAGGGCTAAGTCCAGTGGGAGCCCGGCGTGCTAGGCAGCCAAGGCAAGAAAAAGCCAAGTCACGCGAGCCCCAGCGCGGCGCTAGCAGCTCCCAGGCGAGCGCGGCCCCGCCGGCCCGCGGGCAGCCGAGGCCAAGCCCGGGGAGGCACTTTCTAGCGCTTCTGTGCGCCCCGCGGCGCGCACGCGGGGATTCAGGGGCCGGGGAGCAGCGGCGGCAGGGAGGCCCGGCCGGCCGGGTGCCGAGCGGCTTTGCCAGGAGGGCTCGGGAGAAGCGCCCCCGCGCAGCGCCCTCGCGGCGGCGGGGCCCGCGGGCCGGGCACTGTCACTTGGCCGCGCGCGGGCGCAGCCAGGAAGTCTGCAAACTAAGTGAGCCGGGCTGCCGGCGCCCCGACAGCCAGAGGGGAGGCGCCAGGCGGGTCCTCTCGTTTGTGGGAAAGGAAGGAGTTTGGTGGGGGCGCGTCCGGAATGCAGAAACCTATTTTACACCCGAAGCGCCGCCGGCCGCGCGGAGCGGGACTCGGCGGGGTGCAGGCGGCGACGCTGCCTTCCTCCCGCGCCCGGCCCCCCCACACCCCCCGGCCCCGCCGCCCGCCGCCCGCCGGGCGCGCTCCACTCACCCGGCTCCTCCGCCCGCAGCGAGAGCGGGGCGGACACCGCCAGCAGCAGGGCCAGGAGGACGCGCCGGGCAGCCCCAGCCGGAGCGCATCCACCGCGGGCGCCCGCCACCATGGCCCCTCCGGGCGCCAGTTTGGCAGGCTCGGCCTCCCCTCGGCGGGCCCCGCGCCCCCGCTGCGCCCGGCGGGCCGCCTCCTCCGCGGCCGAGCGCGGCGCCGGGACTGGGCGCAGCCGCGACCGGGCACCGAATCCCATTGGGGCGGCGGGGAGCCCAACCCGGCGGGGGCGTCTCCCGCCCCGCCCCACCCAGCCCCGCGCGCCGGGCCCTGGAGGAGGAAGTAGCTCCCCGGCTGCTGCGCGCGGGGTCGGAGGGCCGAGGCGCCGGCGGGGCAGCCCCCTCTAAATACCCTGAGCCCCCTGTTTGGCGCTTTACTTTTCCTCCACTCCTCCCTAGGGCACTTGAACCTGAGAGCCTGTAGGACACGTGGCCTTGAGACTCTCCCTGAGCTGCACGGTGACCAGGTTCTCCCCCAGAGTTCCTAAGACTTAAATGGGAGCCCCGAAGGGGCTTCTCTCCTCTGGGGTCTTGCCAGCCCTGTAGGGATGGGCATGCAAGTGGTGGTAGCGCTTGGGGGGTAGGGGCCTAGAAATGTTGTCATGATAGGATGTTGATGGTGACTATTAAGATCCAGTGCAAGTCCATTCATTCTTTGAAAACTGACTAAGTTAGAGCAGTGCGCCTGCCAGGCAAGAAGCTAAACTCGTGTCATTTGCACGTGTTAAAAATAATCAGGCAAGTATATAATTCAAATTGCAATCAGTGACATGAGGAGTGGTAGAGCACATTCAGGGAGATCTAATTACACTGCTGATGAGGAGAATGGCCTCCCTTAAAAAGTAGCTGAGACTCGAGTGAGCAGGACTTGGGAAAGCCGGGAAGGGGGTGGGGGTGGGGAGGCTGAGCAGGGAGGAGGCAGAACAGATGTGTGTGCCAAGGACTTGAAGGAGGAAAAGGTCAAAGTGGCTGAAGCAGGGTGAAGAGCGGTGGTCAGAGCACTGAGCAGAAGTGGGGTTAGGCAGGACCTGGGAGACCACATGAAGGCTGTTGAACCTGGTCCTCAGAGTATGAACACAGAATGTTCAGACCAGGTAACACGCCGCTACCTGATTCTCTGTGGGGTGGGCTTGAGAAAGGGCAGGATGGAAGACTGAAGAATTAGGAGGGTATTAACAATGATTAAATGGCAGGGGGGAGCGGGGGAGTGGCAGTGGAATCAATGAAGAAAATGAAATACTGTATACTGTACTTATTAAAGTGAATCTGGCATCTGTAGTTTGTAGTCCTGCTGGCTTCCATAACCCCCCTCCCCCATGCCCAACAGTATTCCTGGTAAGACACAACCACAGTTAGACCAGCAGGTGCAAAGAGGGGAAAGAATTGGTAGTTGGTGGGCTTCCCTAGTGGCACAAGAGGTTAGGCACAGCACTGTGAAGAAGGTGTCCACAGACTCCGCAGCACGAGTTCTATCCCCACCTGGCCAGGGAGCTACCCACATGGTGCAGCAGACCTCTCATGCCTCACCTGCTGCTCCCCTCAGCGGTGTATTTCAGTCAATCTGCCTGTTCTGCTCCCCATTTTGTCTCTGGTGACTCCTCTCACCCCACCTCCACACATCTGGCCTGAACCTCACCTCTTGTATGCATAAATCTTTTTTTTTTTTGCCTCTAGGAATTTTTAAATTATTTTTTAACATTATTGTTCATTTTTAAACAATATTTGCTTCCCCCCACCCCTCAGGTATAGTCCCCATAGTTTCCTTCACCAATGCACCTGTGCACCATCAGCTCAGTCCCCTGTGCTCTTCCTCCCCTCTGCAGTATGTCTCTGATTTATAATTGTCTGTTTTTGCTTTGTTGTGCTTTGTACTGTTATCATTTTTTTATACTGATGTCTTATTGGGTTCCCCTATATTCCTGCCATAAGTGAAACCATGGGATAGTTTTCTTTTTCCTTCTGGCTTATTCCACTGAGCATAATTCCTCCTAGCTCCATCCATGTTGCTGCGAATGCCATGAGTTTATCTTTTTTGATTGCTGAATAATATTCCATTGTGTATATATAACACATCTTCTTGATCCAATCATCTATTTTTGGGCATTTGGGTTGTTTCCAGGTTTTACCTATTGTAAATAGTGCTGTAATAAACATAGGTATACAGGTGTTCTTTTGAATCAATGTTTTTGTGTCCTTTGGGTAGATCCTTAGGCGTGGAATTGCCGGGTTGTATGGTAGCTCAATTTTCAGTAGACTGAGCAACCTCCAGACAGCTTTCCATAGAGGCTGGACCAGTTTGCACTCCCACCAGCAATGTAGGAGAGTTCCTTTTTTACCACATCCTCACCAACATTTGTTGTTGCTTGTTTTTTTGATATGTGCCATTCTTGCTGGTGTAAGGTGGTATCTCAATGTGGTTTTGATTTGCATTTCCCTGATTATAAGGGATTAAATAAATAAATATTAAAAAAAAAGAATTGGTAGTTGGAAAAGGGGCAACAATCCCTCTGAGTTCAATATTGGCATGTTACATACTCATTGGATACCTGGATAGATTCCTTTCATACATGCATTCCTTTTTCCCCCTGACTTAATTATTTTATTTTATTTTTAAAGATTTATTTGTATTTATTTATGCATATAAGAATTGGGGTGTAAGCTAGAGGTATGGGGGTAGGGGATGAGAGGATTCACCAGAGACAGAGTCAGGAGCCCAACAGACAGATCTACTGAAATATACTGCTGAGGGGAGCAGCGAACAAGATAGGAGAGGTCTGCTGCACCATGTGGGTTAGTTCCCTGGCCAGGGATCAAACTCATGCCACAGTGGCTGGGGACAGCTTGATAGCACTGAGACACCAACCCTTGTACCACCAGGAAGGCCTGGCTTAATTATTAAAAAAATAAAAAAGTTGAAATTTCAGGTGAGATTGTCTTTGGTGCTTTGCTGTCTAGAAGCTTAGGGGAAAGAACTTGGACTTGAGAAACAAGGCTGATTTAACTCTAAATCCCAGATCAGCCATTGGCTGGGATTGATTCTCTCTGCACCTCCATTTCCTTGAGAAAAATAATACCTAGCTTTCTTGGGTGTCACAGAAAAAAACAAATTATGCGAATAATGTTCTAACATGTAAGAGATAAATATGGTAGGTTTTGTCATATTTGTATGGAAAGTATATTCAAACCCATGAAAATAATGAATTGTGCATATAAAACATAAAAAGATACTTCAATATATAAAGTCTCTTCCTAAGTCCAACTTTCCCTGTTTCTTCTAAGAAGGTGTGCTTGGGCAGCTGTTATAGGCTTCTAACAGGTGTGGTTCTGTGGGATATAAATGAAGAAAGACAATGGGAGTGTTGTTTACTAGTGAGGAATTCATAGGGTGAGACAGGTTGGTTCCCAGGGGTGACCTTTTCCATCTCAGGTAATTTGACAGGAATGGGGTAATCTATTCCACACCAGAATCCTAAACCAGGTCAGTGGATCTGATAACAAAGAGAAAACAGAAAGACCAGCTGAATCTGAGTACTTTCATTATGCCATTCCTTCCCTGAAAAATAAAAGCAAAGCATAGTAAAAATACAACAGGCTATTAGTTACACTTATGTATAGAGTAAAATAAATACACCTCATTGAATTGATACACTTCAGCCACTTAGTCTCTTATGTTAAGCATATATACCTATTTTACTCTTGTGAAGATTCCACTTTTTTTCTTAAAGATTTATTTATTCTTTATGCATAGAAGGACTGGGATGTAGGCCAGAAGTGTGAGGGGTGAGATGATTCACCAGAGACAAAGTGGGGAGGCAGATCTACTGAAATACACTGCTAAAGGGAGTAGCAGGGGAAACAGGAGAGGTCTGCTGTGCCATGTGGGTTAGCTCCCTGGCTGGGGATCAAACTCAGGTCATCACAGTGATAGTACTGAGACCTCTCCTGCCTCACCCGTTACTCCCCTCAGCAGTGTCTTCGGTCCGTCTGCCTGTTCTGCTCCCCACTTTGTCTCTGGTGAATTTTCTCACCCTGCTGCGCCTCTGACCTGTACCCCAGATCTTGTATAAATAAATAAAATCTTGAAAATAAAATAAAATATGATGTGTTAATATAAAAACTTTATGTAAATTTCTGAAATTCCATTAAGGAAAATTATAGTTGTCAGAATTCCTCTACAACATCTCACATACTTACTAAGATTGAAGAACTGCTTATCATGCAGAACATCTCTGGAGAAGATTCACTCACAAGGCAAGGCAATTTCACATTTAATCCCTCCCCCCATTACTATCCAGTCTTACTATTTTGTATCTCTTACTGCAATTTATACTTGTATTTGCTGACTCTTCTATAAAAATAGGGAACAGCTGGTCAGAGTTGTCTTACATATAAAATGTGTGTTTATCTTGCCTAGGTAAGATAGAATTTAAACAGAACTGCAAGCCTAGTGTTATTCTAAAGTAATTAGAAATCTTTAGATTATTGTTCACTTTGACAACATAACCAATTTTATCCTTAATGTGTAATAACCCTAATTGTGACTTTATGAAGGCCATCTGGGATATACATTTGAAATCTTTATAATTTATATATATTTATACATATGTAATTTATATATATCCTGAATATTGTCCTTTTTCCAGTTTAAAATCAATACATGTATTTTAAGCATTTTCTATATGCAAAACAATGCAATGGAAATACAATGAAAATAAATATAGCTACCTCTCTCCTTCATTCATAATTTAATCATAGAAATTAAAGAAAAATATTCAGATTGATAATTACAATTGTAAGAGAGTTTCAGGTGTTATAGAATCACCAAGGAAGGGTATATAACTGGACTTCAAAGCATAGAAGGGTGTGGAAGGAGGGAAGCTAGTAATTAGAAGAAAAGTATTGTTCTGTCAGATTAGGAGAGCTTGTGAGAAAGCTCAGAGAGAGATCACAAGGTGATTGTAAGGAATCAAGCTTACTTATCAAGGTTGAAGAAGTGAGCCTCTGTGAACCAGAAGGTTGAGTGGGAGGCAGGTATGCTGGGAAGCAGGGAAAGTAGAGG